GTATTAAAAATATATGTAAAGCAAATTAATAAATATAATTTACATATATAAAAAACACACACACATCCACACACTTGTGTAAAATATAAATAAGTAAAAAATAAATTATAACATTAAAAAAAAATTAAATTAAATTTAAAATATACTCTAATATTAAGTAAAGATATATTAAAAAATACTTTTAAACTAAAAACAAATAAAAGATAGTAACAAATTTTCCCAAATTGAAACCATTATTTTATATGTCTCTCTAACCGTGTCGCCAATTGATTGCTACAATTGCAATGCTCTCTCTTGCAGAGCATCACAATCTAAACTAAGCCACTCAATGTAGTGGGCGCGCTGTGATTCCACAAAATTACCTTATATGCAAATTAAGTGGCCAATATTGTTGGGTTTTTTGCCTCAAACATTGAAGTCTATCGAAGCTCAAAATTGCACAAATAGGCAAAAATAACAACAACAGCAATAGCAGCAACAGCAAGAAAACAAAAAGAAGGTATTTCAATTAACCTCAATAAAAGAGTGGAGATACGTCTTACAACTAATTGATTTATCTGTGCAATCAGTCAATGTAACGATACCGATTCAGCTGCCTTTGTTCCCGCACAATTGGTTCTACGTGCATGGCCTTCAGTCGCATTGTCACTGGCGCTGAAGAAAAGCTCATTTATAACCGGTCAGCGGACGAGATCTCCCATACAGAACTGCCCTACCACGAACTGTCAATTTCATGGCTGCAATCGATCGAAGGGCGATGCGCTCATTAAAGTTCTTCACAGCTCCCGCAGCTCTTGTGGCAAGTGACTCTGTTGTCAAAACAAAGATCAAACTGGTTCCGCTGCATTTAATATTAATGGCTGTCATAAAAACTCTTTACAATAATATAATTCATAGAAAATGTTTCAATACATATCCATTTGCATTTTATGCCTCTCAATGGGCTCGGCTTGGGGGCTGCATCCAATTAGCCAAGTTTAACAATTTGCTGGCGTGACGAATGACTCAAACAGTTGAATTAGATTTAGATAAATGTTGGACAATTATTATCAGATATTACATGAATTATTTAATTAGTTGGCCATGCCGATTGGCCAAGGGAAAATAACACTGATGAACCTATTTTTAAAACTGATAAAAACTTGCTTAAGTGCACTTTTACTTGCGAAAGCTGCATGGAAGTAACTCAAAAATCAGATTTCATATACGAGTAATAAAACCTATTAAAATAATTAGATAATTATAATAAAATTGATGTTTGATATATAAACTGAAATTTAGATTGCAACTTACTTCAATTAAGTCTTTTTTTTTTATTATATTAAAGAAAACTTAAAAACTGAATATGTATCACAAGAAAATTTTTATCTTTTTTGTTGTGCAATAAAATTTTTTTGAATATTTTTATATTCATATGCAAAATTTGCATTTTAAACATTCTTGCGAAATGCACAAATCACTTGTATAAAAACACGAAACATATTGAATATATTTGTAGTGCAAATGAAATATAAATTTATTAAAATATTTTTTAATAAATACCAAATTTGATGTTATATATATTTTTATTCCAAAAGAAATATTCTATTATTTTTTAAGAAATTCCAAATGTTTTCTTTTTTATATTTTCATGATGCAACCACTGTTCACAATTTTATAAATATTTTAATATTCACACTTTGTCTGCTTTTGGCTGATGAAATGTTATTCTAAACCAATATAGCCAGAGATATATCACACATGTTTATAGCAAGTGCAGTTTCAGTTAAAGTCAGCAATGCACTCACACAGATCCGGCTCAGCAGACCCCAAATATGTGCATGTGGCACATTTTATTCACTTCATTAGTTGCGAAATTCTAAACACGTTTGCCTATGCTTACTGCATTCAGAGTGCACTTACGCAATGGGCGTGCTGCTCTCCTTAACGGATAGACTAGAGCGTTGTGCAGTCGATGTCTTGTTTTGTTTTAGATTTTAGATCTTCGAGTTGTGATTGGCTGATTGGGGATCTCGTCAGCTACTGCGCATGCGCGCGCGCTGCTGTCCGCTGGTTAAATGAATCGCCGCTGCCGGCGCTTGCAACGACGAAGCCTATGTGGCACGAATCAAGACGGGTAGCTGCCCGTCGGTTAAGTCGGTCAGTTTGACGCGCTACGTTCGCTCCAACACGCAGACCCAGACGCCGCCGGTGCTGGACAGTGGCCCAGTAGCCCGGACTAGTTTGGGCACGAAGAAACAGTTGGGGCTCTCGTCTTTGTATTTCAAGTTCAGCGCATGAACTTGCAAAAATTTCATTTCAGTTTATTTGGATTCGCGGCTCACAGGCAGCCTCTGCTCCGTTTCATCACACGCCATAAATTTCGATTTTAGTCATAGCCAAATGTTTTTGTTTTGCATATCATGGCTGGCGGGCTGGCTGGCTGGCTAGCTGGCTGGCATTTGATTAACAGCATTGGATTATGCTCGACATCCATTGGCAGCAAAGCATGCGCTAATCAACCATTTGCCTATTAGCAATTGCTTGCGAATAAATATAGCTATGATATATAGTGCTTCCGCTATTTAAAGACGCGGGAGCAGATGCTAATGTTGACAGCTCGAGTTCAATGTCAACGTTGTTCCACTCCCTCCCTCTCTCTCTCCCACTCTCGAGCCGGGTATCTCTGTTTATCTTGTATCTATGCGCTTTAATGGCGATGACTTCACGTTACAGCGATTACAAATTGAAAGCTCAGCCATAGACATTTGCATATGTAAAACATTAATGTGCTGCTATTCATTAATGGCCAAACAACATCATAGATACATATGTGCGTCTTTAGTTCGGCCTCAGCTCGACGGATTTGCCATTTCGTTGCCGATGTTGCGACTTTCATAATCAATTTTTGGCGCCAGCGACCTTCATTTACTCATTTATACACATACACATTTCGATATATACAATATGTATAAACAAATATCTATTTTCTATAGGTTTTCTACTTTAAATCCAAACAAATTGCCGCCAATGCATTTCAGCCGACTCTCGCGCGCTTTTTGTTTAAACGTTCATAGTTGATATTTGCACAGATTTTATGCATATTCATTTCGCATGACTTGGCAACTGTGGAATTGACTGCTGTTTGATTTTAATCAAGTGCAAAAACACACACTCACACGCACACACACACAAACACACACACAGACACGCAGAAAAGCACTCGAAAGCATTAATTGTTAATAGATGAAAAGCTGAAACAAAGCCCTGCTAATTTAAACAGATATGCTAAACAATAAATAACGAATGTGTTCAAGTGCCAAAAAGTGATAGTATATTTAAATGAATTCGCCTAAGGCGCAGTATGATTAAGCACTTTTGATATTTTATTCGCAGTCAATTTAATATTAATATATCAAATGACGCAAAATTAAAATTGTATATAACTATAACAGGGCTTCCCCAAAAATTTATATAAGGGGGAATGAATAATCAGCTTAACAGACTACAGAAAAATTAAAGTTTTTTAAGTAGTGTATTTGAGATTGAAATTGTAAGCTATAATTACCTGAAAAATATAAATTTTACTAAATTTATTATTAAGTTCCATTAAACAGAGACACATCTTAAACAAACAATATACATATATGAATCTCAGTTTTCTCATTTCTCATTTCACTGTACAAGATCGTAAAAGAAAAAAAATTCAATAACTTATAAGAAGAGAATATTTAGTATGCATTACAATTATTGATATATATTTTTTCWATATGAAGACAGACAGACACACAGACGGGAAGCAAAACGAATATTTCACAATATTAAATAAATTTGTGAATGAGCATAAAAAATTAAAAACTAAAAAAAAATTTGCCACGCTCTTCAACTCTCATATGGCTTGTCATACCCTGTATATATAATAAACAGTAGAATCCGGTTATGACGACTCCATAACGGGTTATTGCGACGAAAATTCTGTTCCCCAGACAAACTTATATGAGCAAGCGTGTAGGGCTATAGTGTCTTCCGGGTATTACGACGGTCCCTTGAGCGTCGTTGTAAACGGAAGCGACTTCGTTTCGCTTTCTTTTATTACATAGATTCTTTGCAAGCTCTCAGGTTATAACGTTTATCTTTCAACATACTTAATTCTTTTTATACCCTGAACCCATTTTCAATGGGAAATCAGGGTATAATGGTTTTGTTGAAATGTATGTAACAGGCAGAAGGAGGCGTGGCAGACCCCACAAAGTATATATATTCTTGATCAGGGCGACGAGCTGAGTTGATTTGGCCCTGTCCGTCTGTCTGTCCGTCTGTCCGTCTGTCCGTCCGTCCGTCTGTCCGTCTGTCCGTNTGTGTATGTGTTTGTGTATGTGTGTGTGTTTCTTGTGTAAGCTGAAAGACGCGAAAAATTATTGAAATAGCTAGCACTCCAAGGGTTCAGGGGATCTCGTAGTCGAGCAGTCTCGACTAGAGCTTTCTTACTTGTTTTTTCCTGTTTTATTTTAATTTATTTTTAATTTACATATTTATTTCACAAATTTCGATTTAGTATATTAGGCAATTTTCCACTAGATGCTTATATGAAATATTTGTATATAACACAAACACTTACAAATGTTTGCATTTCAGAACTAATTGATTAGCCACGTCGAATGCTGAGAAGCTGTCAGGGTTCTTTTAATTAGAATTTACAAACAATATAAAATACATATTCGTATGCACATGCTAACTAACTGATTGAGCAAACCCCTAGACAAGGCAACGCATGCTGACTTGCTGATAGAACATTAAATATTTCGTCAGCTTAAGGTATTTTACGTGTCTTGGAGCGCACAAGAACATTTTGCGTCCATCGACGGTGCATTGGCCAGGGAAATGCTATTTCGAGTTAAGTGCGACCATTCAAGCCAAATGGAATCAAGTCACATTATTCAGTGCTAATTGCGGCAGTCTAATTGGACAGCCAAATAAATGCTTGGCAACGACCTTGCCAAGGTCGTCGGCAAAGAATACCCAAAATAATATTAACAATTTAGCGAAAGGCCAGTGGAACAACAAGTGCTACAACAACTGAACAACGACATTCGCAAGCTAATCACACACACACTCACACTATAAATTATTATACTTAAACTGCATAATCACAGACCCAAATCGAGCTGAACTTCAGCGTGGCAACAGTTCTCACAGTTGTTTTCATTGTCAAGTGCTCTCTACATGAGCGCGATGTCTGTAATTTGCGCCTGGCTCGTAAATCACGTGTCTAATGCCAAACGCCGTTAAAAAATGAAGACGTGCGCTGAGACCACAATAAACCACAGCATGCACAACACCCAATAGCAATAAAATTCAGCAGAAAATAACCTCCATAAGTAATAACAATAAAAGCTGCAGCAGCTACTCGAAAAAACCAAACACAAAAAACAAAAGCAAATAAATGTCTGAAAGTTTTGTATAATGATTACCAGGCGTAAATATATCTATATCTTGATGATTACAAATCTGACAAATGCCGTCTGAGCCAAAAATAAATAAGAGCCCATAAGCGATGTGGCCAGAGGAGCCACACAATCACAATAATCGAAGAGCCACTCGAAACACTGTGACCCAGACGGATACTCGTCTCTTGCGGCTTAATTGAATGAACTTGAAACAACTGAAGTGTAATTCCAAATTGCATGCCAACAAGCGGCGAGGTGTGTGTATGTGTGTGGGTGTCACACGCAACATGTTGAGGGCATTCCAGAAAAATAAAGAAATTCAAACAATGAAATCAATTGTCGAAGAAAATCTCTAATTGAAGAAATATAAAATATGTTTAGCTCATTTAGTACATATAATTATATGTGTATATTTTTACATACTAGACATATAACACCTGTTCCAGTTATAAGCCAAACTAAATATATGGACTGCATAAATCTGTCAGAAAAGTAAATACACTTTAGTCAAACTCTAATTACGTTTTTAAGCAAAACTTTTTTCCCATTGCCAACTAAATCATCTTTTTCTTTGCATATTTTTGCATAGCGATTTACCTGACAATCTTCAATTCGGAGTGCGCCGCACGTTTCTGGGAACAGCCCAATAATCATAATTTTTATGATTGAGTTGACAGCCGCAACATCAGAAATATATTGAGATGGTCTTTGAACGCGATGATTGGTGTTATTGACACGACCGCCGAGTGTGGGTCTCTCGATGATTGAAACCTTTTGTTGTTCAAGTTGAAGCTGAAGTTGTTGGATTGAAACCAGCAATAAATAAGTCAATGTGTTGTGTGTTGTAAAATGTTTGCATTTCAATAAAATGAATTTTATTAGAAATCTGTTTCACGATTCACGTCGGTTCTCTACACGCTAGTCTAATATAATAATCATAACATTTAGGTAAGTAGAAAATGCAGTTGATAAATGTTTTCAATTTTAATCAAAATACATGGGGTATGAATGTAGTTCTCGACGATTCGAATAGCTTACGATTGGTTTACAATTTGAATCAATGATATTTATTCATAGATAGTTATATATTTTTTCTGACGATCATTTAGTTACGTATAGTGATTTGCTAAGCTAAGTTTAATAAATCAATTGCTTTGCATTTAAATTGTATATGTTAATGCAAGTATTTGCCGTTTATAGCCAAAAGCAAAATGATTATGCCGGTTGGGTTTGTTCATTAGAAACCTAAGTATTTCTAGTCGATTATCGTCAAATATGATTTTCATATAAATAAGTTTTTAGGATGTACAAAAATGTTGAACATAAACGTACTTAGGGACTACATAAAATTAGTTTCATTCTTGACTTTTCATTTGTTTCATAAATATTTCTCATGTATATGTTTATGTATTTTTTGTTTCTTCTTCTTATTTGTTTGTGTTTAATCAAATATTTAACTTACATTTTGTTAATTTATAAATGTAATCAGTACAAATTGCTCGAAACTCAGCTCAGTTCCGTGTCGCAGCAATCAATTTCGATTTCGATAAACAATGAATATAAAAAACACAAAAGGAAATCTATTTATATATTTTCAATTATCAATCCAATGTATTTTTTTCATATGCTTCCAACACAACAACAACAAGTGCTGGAGTCTCACTTGATTGCTGTGACATATCGGAATGCGGCATTTTTAGCTGCCGCCCAAAAGTATGCAGCATTTTTTTCATTTGTATTATTTGTCGCTTAGTGACGCAGCAGAACGTTGCTCACTTTATTGGCCGCGTCTGTTTTGGCCGTGATTTTCTCGCGAAAGTGCCGATTCTCGGGATTGGCCAGCACCGAGGCAATGAACTCGGACGTCTCCAGCTGCAGCTGAGCCAAGCGCTTCTGCAGCAGCTTGTTGCGCTGCACCAGCTTTATCGTCTTGATGGCTATGGACAGCAGGCCCTGGTTGTGTGCGTGATACTGTTGCAGTGGATTCGGCGGCTTGATGGGGTCCAGGGCAAACTCGTAGCCGCTGTCGCCATCGCCCTGATCCTCCTCCTCATCGTCCCCGTCCCCGTCCTCGTCATCGTCCTCCTTATCCTCACCTATGCCTGAAGCATGATCACAATGTTTGGCTGTTGTTGTCTTGCTGCTTCCACTGCAGTTGCTGCTGTTGCTGCTGTTGCTGTTGTTGCTGTTGCTGTTGGCCATTGTTGGTTGTAATACTGTTTTGATATTGTTGTTGTAGTTGCTGCTGGAATGTGTGTGCGCTGAGTACGTGCTCGTCTTATTATAAACGCCATCCACCTCCATGCGCTCCACATGCTCGGCCTGCTTTGATGTCCTCTCACTTTCCAGTTCAAGTCCAGCAGCACTCGAAGACGATGCCACACTTTTGGCGCCCGTTGGCAGCAATGCGATCCCACGTCGGCGTTGTGCGCGATTTATTGAGTTCGTCGAACTCTTGATGGCTGCAAGGAAAAGCAGAAAAACACGTTAAAGCTATGTCAAAGTTCAAGCAACTCAAGGTGCACAGATGCGCAATAAATCACGTGCCGCACACGCACACTCCTACAATATATGCAATACAAGAAAAGATGTTTTCTCCCAAGACAAGCACCCGTAAGCCCAGTAAGTATGCAATTGTAACTGCAACAGCTCTCTTCAGGAGCTGAATGTTTAATTGAGTTTTTATATAAATAATGAAAAATCATTTTCGATTTTGTATGCTTTATCGCACCACATAGCATGTAAACAAAACATAAAAATATAATTTTTATCGTAAGACCTGTTTCTTGGAAAATCACGCCATGCCATGCCATGTTGAGTTCTCGAAATAATAATAATTCTTATCAACATGAGTTTGCAAAAACGAAAAGCAAATTCAAATTCTCCTCATTCAAAGCTTTATATCGAGTTATTATGCAAAGAAAAAACAATCAAATTCAATAAATATATTCTACAAAAATCGAACGGAATAAAAGTAAATAAAAATCAAATGAGTGCATGTAAAAATTTAAATCTTTTATGTAAAAAATTTACATTTATTAATATTATTTTTATTATATAAAGTCGACTGTCGAGTGTTTGAAAATAAATAAAGGATATATGAGTGATATACATGTCAAGGTTATTGATATTATTTATCAATGTTATTATTATTTG